CAAACACAGAAAACAATTTAATTTCAGCTTGTGATAAACTGTTATGGAAAAAATAAAAACTCAAACATGGAGAGCAAATCTGAGGAGTCTACATTAAATGTGAGGTCAAGGAAGGCCCTCTAAGGAGGTAGTACTGATCTGAGGAAGAAGAGGAAATTCAAAGTGTGGTTCCAATTTCCTTCTAATGAAAACCATTAGAGGGGCCTCCTTGGTGGCGCAAGAGGTTGGGTATCATCACTATGAAGCTATCCGCAGCCATTGCTGCAGGAGTTCCATCCCCAGCAGGCCAGCGAGCTATCCACATGGCACAGCAGACCTCTCCTGTCTCACCTCCACAGTTTGTATTTCAGTCACTCTGCCTGTTCTGTTTCTCACTCTGTCTCTGGTGAATCCTCTCACCTCCCCACACCTCTGGCTTGTACTCCAGTTCTTGTATGCATAAATAAATAAATCTTTAAAAAAAAAAAAACAACTCTATTACGCCATTTACCAAACAGCAAACATGCAAATCATTCAAGCAATTTTTCAGTGATTTCTCCTTAATCAGGAACATAAAGACAAATAGAATCCAACATACAGTACAAATTAATCCAACATTATTACTAAGAAAAACATAGAGAATCAGTGAATAGGACACGCTCATTTTAAAATGAGGAGAAAAAAGTAAAAAGACTACCCAGTGTCAAACAAATAGGGGAAAATGTGGCATACAAACTCTTAGTCCAGAACTCCAGTGTTTTTCAAAAAAAAGGAATAAAAATCAAGTTAATAGTTTGCAACTGGCACTATTTAAAAAACAAGAAAACAGGAACCATCAGAGTTTTATGAAATTTTTCTTTCAGTTACACGTGTGTATATATTTTTTTCATGCAGACACATACACACATAGAACGATACTTTTTTTAAAATTTATTTATTTATACAAGAACTGGGGTACAGGCCAGTGGTGCGGGAGGATGAGAGAATTTACCAGAGCAAGAACGGGCAGCAGAACAGGCAGACAGAAGGAATACACTGCTGAGGGGAGCAGCAGGCAAGACAGGAGAGGTCTGCCATGCCATGACGGTATCTCCCTGGCGGGGATTGAACTGGCACTGCAGAGGCTGTAGACAGCTTCACAGGGTGGCGCTCAACTGCTGTGCCACCGGAGAGGCCCTAGAATGATACTTCTATGCAGTCTTGAAATAAAAAAAATCTCTTGCTATGAAGCGCAGTCAAAAGTTTTAACAACATCAACAAACAACTATGAACCAGAGACACACTATGAAGGGGGCAGGGAAAGGAGGGATGGGGTCAAAATAAGGGGGTTGCAATTGTATGGGGAATATAAAAATAAAATTAAAAAAAAAGTTTTAACAACACTGCATTTCACACTGCCCGTCTTTGAAATACTTCCTTACCTTTTTTGCAAACACTGTAATAACAACATCAAAAATAGTAATGAATGGCTCACCTACGTTAAAAATCTCTTGTTCAAATCCCATTTCTGCATGTATTCAGGATTGCTTTGTAAGCTATACAGTTAAAGTAACTATCAATAGCAACTAGCTGCAACTAGCAAGAGAAACTCTCACTCAGCCAAAGATGTTACAAAAATCACAACCTATTGGTCTTCTATGGACTGGATAGCCTAAAAGGAGATCTTTAATATAAAAGGACACAGAATGTTCACCACAGCTCAGAGATTCAGAGTTCTCTCCAACACTCAGAAATAAGTCCTCAGCAGACCTGGCAATCAGAATATAATTTCAGGGGAAAAGGTCATTCCTAAAATATTTTCTATATTGCCTATGACTAATATCTGGGGGGAAAAATTAGCATAGGACATAGTCATTCACTTCTAATCAGGTCTAAGATGTAAAATGCAAACTGCCTTTAAGGTAATAAGCTACACTAACATTCCAGCTAAGATACAGAAATATCATATTTCAAAATATCAGATTTTTTAAACCTTTTTTTTAGTTTTTAAATTTATTTATTTTCTTATATTGTCATTCATTTTTGCACATTATTTGATTTCTCCCTCAGGTGTAGTCCCCATAGTTCTCCTACCACCATAGCACTAAGAAAAAGATAAAGAATCAGTGAAGAGGGCACCCTCATTTTAAAATGAGGAGAAAAAAATTAAAAAGACTAACCAGTGTCAAACAAACAGGGGAAAATGAGGCATATAAACTCTTAGTCCAGGACTCCAGTGTTTTTCAAAAACAAGGAATAAGGTGTGATCCATCACCATAGTCTTCCCACCCATTTTGATCCTCTCATGCCCACTCCCTTTCTGTATACCTCAGATCTATGGTCTGCTTACAAGTTTTGTATTTTTCTTGATCTTTTGTTTATTTTCTCTATATTCTGCATATATGTGAAACTATCCGAATATCAGACCATTTTTAAATGGCATTTTTGGTAGAGGAGAGTAATGGTACTGTAGAGTGAAAACAAAAGATAAAAGGTAAAGTAAGGCAGGGTTAAGAATAGAAAATGTTAGGACATTTACTGTGCCACAATAGAAGTTTAATCTAAAATATTTATACAGGGGCCTCCCTGGTGGCACAAGGGGTTAAGCACCGCACTGTGAAGCAATCCACAGCCTCTGCAGCCTGAGTTTGATCCCCGGCTGGCCAGGGAGCAACCCACATGGCACAGCAAACCTCTCCTGGCTCGCCAGCTGCTCCCCTCAGGAGTGTACTTCAGTCAGTCTGACTATTCTGTTCCCTGCTCTGTCTCTGGTGAATCCTGTCACCCCCGCATTTCTGGCCTGTACCCCAGCTCTTATATGCATAAATAAATAAATCTTTAAAATAAAATATTATACAGCACCAGATATTTCAGTCACAGAGCTTTACATACCCAAATTCTCAGTCAATCAAGTTTTCTGCCACATGACCTCACCTTCCCTTCTGCAGTTAACCAGACTGACACTGTGTACCTTTCCTGAGGTCTCAAAAAAAGACCCCTAAGAAAATCAGGCTATTTGTTGGCAGGAATTAAAGATAAAAATTAATTCACAAAAAGAAACAGTGGAGTTAAACTGAAGACTGACTAATTGTAAAGAAGCAGACATAATATAGGTAAAAAGAAGCTAAGAGTAAGATATGCATAACAGAAATGAAGAGGGCCTCCCTGGTGGCGCAGCGGGTTGAGCACCACACTGTGAAGCTGTCCACAGCCTCAGAAGCGCAGATTCAATCCTGGCCGGCTGGGCGAGGGTCCCACATGGCGAAGCAGACCTCTCCTGTCCTGCCCCCTGCTCCCTTCAGCAGTGTATTTCGTCAGTCTGCCTGCTCTGTTCCCCTCTCTGTCTCTGGTGAATCCTGTCACCCTCCCACGCATCTGGCCTGTACCCCAGTTCTTATATTAAAATAAATAAATTTTTTTTAAAAAAAAATAGAGATGAAGAGAACTAAACATGCCAAACTTGCACAGGAAACCAGAGGGATGAAAAGGTCAGTAAAAGATTCTTGTTTGTGGCAACTTTCCAGTTCTCTGCCCTACAGCCCCTTTCTCAAAGGGTGTGGGGTGGGGGGGGGCGCTAAGATACAAATAAATGACTAAAAGGAGTTACATCTACTTTTTTCCAAATTAAAAATTACTAAAATATCTTATGTTTGAAAGTCTGAGCTAGAAGAATCCTTGGAATCAGTCCAATTCACTATTTTAGAGATGAGGAAATCGAGGACCACAAGGAACCTAAGGTTACAGATAGTGACAGAACTAAGACAAAAACCAAGGTCTCCTATTCCAATTATTACTCTCTGTCCTGTACTAAACACCAACACGGAAATATCAATATTCTTTCAAAAGGAGTATTTTGCCACATGTTAAATGAATCAGCTATCTCTATGTGCATAATTCATCTTCCACGGATTCAGTAAGTTTTCCACTTGTTTACTCTCTGAGTCTTGGTGAACCTTATGAAATAATTTCTTCTTTTCTTCCTCATGAATATATTTTTAAATGCATCTAACACTAAAGACAATGCACAGAATATTCATCAGATCGCACTGGCTCTTCCCCACTGTAACTGTATATTCATAAAACAGTGTTACTCAGGACATATTATTTCATATATTGCACCAGTGTTTGAATTCAAAGTACCACAGGTCAAACACGTTAGTGAAAAATTAATTTCAACTAAAGATCATAAAGATTTTCCTGAAGAAAAACAACTCATCACCTATGTCAGTGAAGTTGAGGAGAAAAGCGTTCAAGAAGCATCAAAATTATGAAATGTTACAAGTCATTCCTTATAAAAGGTATTGCATACATTCATTGTATGCTGGGAACAAAAACTACAACTTAGAAATACAAATCCCTAAGAAGGAAAATTACTAATCAGTAGACAACTGTGCAGAGAGGTAGAGGGAAAAGTTAACATAAGGGAAAGATGGTGACGCCCCAGTCAGCATTGCGGAACACCTAGATGCTTACTCTGCCAAAACAAATAAGCTCCTGTAAGGATCCCCCAAAGGACACCAGCTGGGAGGTGTGGGGTGACTAAGTCCTTGTATCTCTGAAGCTGATCCACAGAAAAGCAGAGTCATCAATTTCCTAAGGACATTCTCAGCCATATTTAGAGAACAGAAATTAAAAGACAGCATATCTTAAAGAATTCTTTGCTTAGGTTTAAGGTAAACAACGTAGAAAGTGAAGAACACATAACTTAGCGAGTTCGTAATTATACATAGAAAAAGCACAAAATTCACACATCCAGAGACCACTTCAGTACAACTAATTAAACCATCATACAAAGGATTTGTCCATCAGATGACAAATTAATGGTGGTCTAAGCGTACTATTTACTCTAGCATCTGAAAGATATGCATTGTTAGCACCATTTGAGCGCCAGAAAACTCAGACTCAGAGCGTTTAACGAACCAAGGTCACAAAGCCAGGCAGTGAAACCGTCAGGATTGGAACCCAGGCTGGCTGAGGCACTCCGGATACCGCTAACGAGAGTCGAAGCCACAATCTACACAGCAGCTGAAGTTCATCCTTACCAGTCACCCAGGAGCTGAGTTTTGAAGAGGGAGTTGGAAAGGGGCATCTGACTTTCTCTCTCCAAGTAGAACAGAGCTGAGCTGTCAAAAACACAAGGAAAAAAAAAAAAAGTGAGTGCGGCAATCGCCGGGCGCTCCATCCCCAGCTCCGGACGGTCGCTCTGGCGCCAGCGGCCACGGGACCGAGACCTCCCGCTCGGATCGGGCAGCCCAGCGGCGTCCGGTTCTCTGCGCCGAGCCTGTGGGGCCGTGGCTGTCAGACCCCAAGGGGCAGGGACAAAGAGCCCCCTCGGCGGAGCCGGGTCTCGGGGGGCGCCCCACAGCAGCAGCCCCCGCGGGGCGCGGCGGAGGCGGGACCGCAGCCGGGGAGCTCCGCGAAGGCGCGGGCCGGGCCGGCGGAGGCGCCTCTCCCCGCCTCCCCCCGCCTTCCTCTCGCCCCTTCCCCTTTACCTTGCCCGTGGGTTTCTCGGCGGCGTGGCAGCCACCAAAGGGCACCTGAGCCGGGCGGCGAAGCGAGAGCCGATTAGCTGGCGTCAGCTGCGACCTGCGCTAGCGAAGGAAACCCCCTGGTGGGGATGGAGGCAGGATGGGGCTCAGAAGCAGAGACTAGGTGGGTTCCCGGCTAGTGGAGTCTACTCCTCTCGTCCCTCGCACTCTGCTTCCGCTCCGCCTCCTGTTGGAGCCCTTCCCCCCACTTCCAAGGCCAGCGGCGCGCGGCATTGTGGGGGATGTAGTCCAGCAATGCGGAAGAGGCGGCACGTGCTTCTCACCGCCAGCAAATGTACCGGGTCAGGAAGACGCCGTTGCGAGGCAACCAGAGGGGCGACCGGCTCTTTCTTCCGGATTGGAAGACTCGCTTGAGGCAGGAATAGTCTCTCTCTTCTCTTCCTGCAGGCAACTGAAAGGGACGTATGGGCGTCCTGCTCTTGACCCTCCGGCAGGGTAACTAACAATTTCAACACACTTGGCTAGAGGCAAGAAGGATTTTTGCTTATTAAAAGTGTATTACGGACAAGAATACCTTTTATCGGGGCATCCCTGGTGGTGCAAGGGGTTAAGACACAGCACTATGAAGCTATCTGCAGCCACTGCTGAACGAGTTCGATCCCAGACCAGGGAGCTAACCCACATGGCACAGCAGACCTCTCCTGTCTCACTTGCTGTTCCCCTCAGCAATGTATTTCAGTACATCTGCCTGTTCTGCTCCCCAATCTGTCTCTGGTGAATCCTCTTACCCACTGCATCTCTGGCCTGCACCGGAGCTCTTGTATGCATAAATAAATCTTTTTTTAAAAAATACCCTTTATTGCCCCTGAAGTACTTAGCCATTGGAGTAAAGCAAGAAAAACAAAAAGGAGGGCCCTCCCCGGTGGCGCAGCGGTTGAGCGCTGGGTTGCAAAGCTGCCAGCAGCCTCTGCAGTGCCGGTTCGATCCCCGGCTGCTCCCCGGCCACCAGAGGAGGGTCCCACATGGCGCGCAGACCCCTCCTGCCGCCCGCTGCTCCCCTCAGCAGTGTCCTTCGGTCCTTCTGCCTGCTCTGCTCCCCGCTCTGGCTCTGGTGAATTCTCTCACCCTCCCGCGCTTCTGACTGTACCCAGTGCATGTATAAACAAAACAAACAGATGAATAAATAAATAAAAAAACATGCCTCTATAAAAAAAAAAAAATCATAGTTTTAATTTTTTTATTTTCTTACATCATTGCTAATTTTTGAACAATATTTGACACCTCCCAAGTGTAAACTCCATAATTCTCCCACCATCACAGCACCCCTAAAGCATCACCACAGCCCCTTGTGCTCTTCCACCCCTATTCTGACCCCCAATCCTTTCCCCTGCTGTATGCCTCAGGTCTATTGTCAACATGCAAGTTTTGCCTTTTACCAGATCCTTTGTTTGGTTTCTATATCCTGCATGTAAGTTAAGTCATCTGGTATTTATCGTTTTCCTTCTGACTTATTTTGCTTAGCATAATTCCTTCCAGTTCCATCCATGTTAATGTGAATGGCATGAGTTTATTTATTTTGATTGCTGAGTAGTATTCCATTGTGTGTGTGTGTGTATATATATATATATATATATATATATATATACATATACACCACACCCTGATCCATTCATCTATTGAGGGTGTTTGGATTGTTTCATATCTCGACTACAAAAATCATATATTTTTTAAATCAACTTTTCTATATTTCAGATAAAAAGAATTATTTTTAAAAGATACCGTTTACAAGGATATCAAGCAAATAGCAACTTCATAGAAATAAAACAAAGAAGTGCAAGACCTGTATGACAAAACCATTTAAAATTTTGAAGACCTAAACAAATAAGATATATAGCATGTTCATGGACTGGAAGATTAAACACTGAGAGATGTCAAGTCTCCCCAGATTCATCCTAGATCCAGTACAATTCCAATATAAAGCCATAGTAATTAAGGCAGTGTGGTATTGGCTTAAGGCTAGACAAATACACCCATGAAACAGAATAAAGAGCTCAGGATGTGGGCCTCCCTGGTGGTGCAAGGGGTTAAGATGTAACCTATGAGGCAATCCACAGCCATTGCAACGCGGGTTCGACCCCTGGCCAAGGAGCTACCCACATGGCGCAGCAGACGTCTCCTGGCTCACCTGCTGCTCCCCTCAGCAGTGTATTTCAGTCAATCCACTACCTGTTCTGTTCCCCACTCTGTCTCTGGTGAATCTTCTCACCTCTCCCCACATCTCTGACCTATACCCCGGTTCTTGTATGCATAAATAAATCTTTTTTTAAGATTTATTTATTTATTTTATACAAGAACCGGGGTACAGGCCAGATGTGCGGGAGGGTGACAGGAGAGGTCTGCTGCGCCATGTGGGACCCTTGCCGGCTGGCCGGGATCGAACCGGCACTGAAGAGGCTGCTGACAGCCTCACAGTGCAGCGCTCAACCTCCTGTGCCACCAGGGGAGGCCCTGCATAAATAAATCTTTAAAAAAAAAAAAGATCTCAGGATGTCTCATCCATACATAGAAATCTGATTTATGCTGATATACTGGCAATGTATAACAATGCCTAAATAATCAATATGGGAAAAACAGCTTTCATTTGGAAGGAAAAGAATGAAACTGAGCTTTTCATATTACATTAAAAAATCAATTGCAGGTAGATAATAGACATAAATTTGAAAGCCAAAACTATAAAGCTTTTAGAAGATGAAATAGGAGCATACATCATGACCTCAAGTGTAAGGGACAGACTTTAAAACTAATACAAAAAGTACCAAGTATTAGAGTTAAATAAGTTTGATTACATTAATATCAAGACTTGGTTTCATGAAATGACACTGTTCAAAGAATTCAAAGGCCAGCCTCCAAGTTGAATAAGAAATTTATAACATGCATAACCAAGAAAGGTCTTTTATCCAGGATACATAAAGAACTACAATCTTTACAAAAGATTTTACAAAAAAAGATTTGAACAAGCAGTTCACTAAAGAAGAAATTCAAATGACAAGTAAACTATGAAAAAGTGTCATCCACATATAAAAATAGGAAGTTCAAATCATGGTATAAGAATATTATACCACCCATCAGAATGACTAAAAATGACAAACTAACAATTACAATTGTTGGTTAGGAGAAGAGCATTGAGAAGTCTCATACTTTACTATGGTGAGAGTAAATAATACAAAAGAGAGTTAATAAATACAAAATTGGGGGTCTCCCCGGTGGCGCAGCGGTTGAGCGCTGGGTTGCGAAGCTGCCAGCAGCCTCTGCGACGCCGGTTCGATCCCTGGCTGCTCCCCGACCACCGGAGGAGGGTCCCACATGGCACGCAGACCTCTCCTGCCGCCCGCTGCTCCCCTCAGCAGTGTACTTCGGTCCTTCTGCCTGCTCTGCTCCCCGCTCTGGCTCTGGTGAATTCTCTCACCCTCCTGCGCTTCTGACTGTACCCAGTGCATGTATAAACAAACAAACAAAACAAAATAAATAAATAAATAATAAAATAAATAAATAAATAAATAACATGCCTCTATAAAAAATAAATAAATAAATAAATAAATGCAAAATTGTTTCACCTTATCTGCTAAAGTTGAATAGTCCTATACCTGGTCCAGCATGTCATTTCCAGCTATTAACCCTAAAGAAAGGCATACTCTTTCTTCAACAACCGGCCGAGCAGCAGATGCAGAGATGCAGACGCAGAGATGCAGATCTTTGTGAAGAACCTGACAGGCAAGCCCAGTGATACCACTGAGAACATCAAAGCAGTGTCTGATTTTTTCTGGCAAACAGCTGGAAAATGGTGGCACTCTCTCACACTACAATATTCAGAAAGCATCTACCCTGCACTTGCGCTACACTTCCAGGTGGCATCATCCAGCGGTCCTGTCCCTCCGCCCGCTGGCCCAGAAATATAGCTGCTGCAAAATGATTTGCTGCAAGTGTTATGCTCACCTGCACCCACGCACTGTCAACTGCACAATTGCTGCCACCTCAACAACCTGTGCCCCAAAAAGAATGTCAAATAAGACCCTATGGTCACCCTTTCTCTGCCTACAGGGTGGCCTCCTGCCCAAGCCCCATGGCTCTGGGGCCTCAAAGTTTCTTTTTTTTTTTTTAAAGATTTATTTATTTATTCATTCATTCATTCATTCATTCAAGCACTGGGTACAGTCAGAAGTGCGGGAGGGTGAGAGAATTCACCAGAGCCAGAGCAGAGAGCAGAACAGGCAGACTGACAAAGTACACTGCTGAGGGGAGCAGCGGGCATGGCAGAAGAGGTCTGTCGCACCATGTGGGACTCTCGCTGGTGGCCGGGGATTAAACCGTAGCTGCAGAGGCTGCAGACAGCTTCACAGGCCAGCGCTCAACCGCTGCGCCACCAGGGGAGGCCCTCAAAGTTTCCTTATCATTGACTGGACAATCAAAAAAACGAAAAAAGGCATACTCATGCATCAGAATGCATGTACACAAATGTTAACAGTAGGGCTGTTGTTATAGCCAAAAATTGTAAATAACACAACGTCCTCCATCAACAATAAAATGGATAAAGAACTTATAGTGGAGTTGTGTAATGAAATGTAAAATAACAGAAAAATGAACATGGAATAATCTGAGTGTAGGTTTCCTTTCTGTGCAATATCATATCCACTAGCCACCTGTGGCTTCTGAGAACATGCTCTGCATTTGTTCTAAATTTTGAATATTTAGTACAAAAAACTAAATTATCTCAAGTAGTTTTAAATATTGATGATATATTGAGATGATATTTTAAGGGCCTCCCTGGTGGCCTAGGGGTTAAGTCTCAGAGCTATCACCACTAGAACCTGAGTTCAATCCCCAGCCAGAGAGCTAACCCACATATGGTATGGCAGGCCTCTTCTGTCTTGCCTGCTGCTCCCCTCAGCAGTGTATTTCAGTAGATCTGCCTGTTCTACTTCCCACTCTGTCTCTGGTGAATCCACTTATATCCCACACCTCTGGCCTACACTCCAGTTCTTCTATGCATAAATAAATAATCTTTTTAAAAACAATATTTTATACATTTGTTTAAATACATAAAATTAATTTGTTCCTTTTTACTTTTCAAATATATATTTAAGAAAAAATAAAATCGTATATGTGCTTTGTATTATACTTCTATTGACATTGCTGATAATAGAGATGTATGAAAAATAAAGCCATAAGTAGGACAGACGAAGAACTCAAATGCCAAGTTAAGGAATCTTTACTTAATTTGAAGAGTCATGCAAAGTTTTTAAGATGGGGAAATGGTTATGTATTTGTCTATGAAACACTGTCTTATCTAAGTTTATGTATGTTAAAACAATCTCCTAGATTAAATTTTAAACAACTTACTATCCATTGTTTCTATACACAGTGAAAGGCACTCAATAAATGGTGAATGCATGA